ATATATTATATATATAATACTTATATATATAATACTTCTTATGGTAAATAGCAGAAGATATAAAAAAAAAACAGTTTATTTTTTCGAAAATTTAATATTTTACTGACATATATCCCGAATTCCGTAGTAGATGTATCTATTCCGTATCTCGTTTTGTTATTATTTAAGTTTTTTTCTATCTATGGTTCATCGGTTTTTAACTAGCAACATTATCGGATTTCTGTAGAAAAATAATTTATGCATTAAATTAAATGAGAAAATATTTTGCAAAATATAATGCAAAAATAATTTAGGAAATACATTTTCTAATTTTAATATGACTTAAAAAATTAATATTTTATAATATAATTATGAGATATTATTAAATACATTGTAATTTAATAATAAAAATCTTTTGATTATAATAATATACATTTTATTTAATAAAAATCACAATAATCTAAATAAGAAATAAGCAAAAAATATCGTTATTTTATTTTATTTTTTCTATTTATATTTTAAAATTACTATTAATGATAAGTATTTCATTATTTTAATATTTCTTCGTAAGAATTATATTAGAATTAAAAAATGAATCGTTTTAAAAAATTATTCAGAACTAATATTATTTCATATTTTATAATATGATAATATAATTAATATAAATTTTATATAAAATTAATGTCAATTCGATAGGAAATTAATATTTAATTGAAATGAGATAATAAAATAGTAATTAACTAAAATTAATATAAATATGAGAATTTTTTTTATTATATCGTATCGATTCAATTCGTATGAATCAAATATCTATTGAATACAATCATTGTATAATCATAAACTGTTTTTCTTAATAATTTCAAAAATTTTATATAATAGTTATTAACAGTTATTTTTCAAATCATTTTAATTATTTATATAATACATGTATATTTATAATTAATAAGCATTGATATACATACTTAATTGTATTTTTTAATATATACTTTTGTAAATTTAATATTTCAATGTATGACTTATCAATCTTATCTGTGAATTCATATATTGTATTTTTTCGTTCTTATTATAAAACAAATATTTATTTAAAATAAATTAATCATTTATTTTTAATTCCTATATACACAAATATATTCTATATGTACAAATATTCGTTAAAATTTTAAATATAATAAAAATTAAAATATATTATCTAGTTCTGGTTATATAAATCTAAACGTACATATTTTATTTCTATTCAATAAAAATAATTAACTGAGAAAGGTATAATTTTATAAAATAAATTAGAAAATTAAAATTATTATTATTATTTATTACAATTTATTATTATAGTGATTTATAGATTAAACATAGTTAAATATAGAAGATAACCTCATATGTTTGTTGTGTAATTCTTACAAACTTTAAATGTTTTAAAAGTTTATCAAATATTTAAGTTTTCTCTCCTCTTCTCTTTTATAGTTATAAGAATATACACAATATTTTCTAAATATAAATTATAAAAATAACTAAATGATTTTAGCATACTTATAAGTGAATTTAATTTTTTGGGATATAACAATGGAATTATCGAAAGATACCATTGATGGTATTGCTAATATTTTAAATACAAATGTTATTACTGATGATAACTTCTCACAAATTTTAGAAACAGCTATTTCATGTATATATGAAAGTCCTTCAGAAATAAAATGTAAGTATTTGTTTTAACTTAATTATCAATTATTAATAAAGATAATTAACAAAGATATTTAAATTAAATTTTAGGCACTATAAAAACATCTGATTCAAAACCAATTTTAACAAAAAAAGCTTTTACTGATGTAGTATGCTTACTTGTAGAAGCTTCTCGACATGACTTAGATGAAGAAAGTTTAAGAAATTTTTTAAATCTCATATATATTGATGAAAAAAGAATTAGCAAATTATGTGAAATATATATTAACAATAAAACAACAATACAATCTCAATTGGAATTGATAGGCAATAATCCATCTCATATTATTGATATAGACTGGCATTTAGATTATTGTGTCAAGGTAATTGATCGGTCGAATAAAATACCGACCATTTCATTCAAAGATGTTTAATTCATTCTTATTTATGAAAATGATTTTCAGTTGGACACATGCGATTCACTTGGTGTTCCTCTTTATCATGTGAGACTTAGTACTAAAAAACATGAAACAATAAATTATGTAACATTTTCATGTACAATACAGCAATTGCAAGATTTAGTGTTTAAGCTCAAAGATGTTATTAGATATTCAGAAAAGCTTACTAATGTTTAGCTGTATTTTTAAGTTATTAGTTTACTTCATATAGTACAATTCATTTATATTTTTAAAGTTTCTTGGAATTATTGTTTTAACTACTTTTTTTTTACAATATATAAATTTCTATAAATGAAGCATAATTATCAACAATTTGATATTTGTATATTAACATTTACACAATAATTATTATAGTAATCGTTTAATAATAAACTCAATTTGTACGTATAAGTGTAGTGGTAAAATCTTATACAAATAACAGACCATGTAAAGTATAATCAACTATATTTTTATAATTAAAAGAACATCCTCTACTTCATGTAGTATTATTACTGTATTGATACCGCGCGCGCGTAGAGAGTATGCGCGCGTGCACACAACATACGTAGAACACGTACATAAATTTCAAAACAAACGACGATCAACGTTTTTATAAATAAAACAAATCTCGAAAACTTCGTTTAAACCATTTTGATTTAAACGATATTGAAATTTTCTTTACACAAAGATTATACACATACATTTTTCACTCGCTCACTCATTCAGGTACACCTTGTATACAAAAGAGTCGCGCGCGCACACAACTAATAACTTATTAAAAATACGTTGTTTTTTGCTCTACAATCAGGCATCTCTCTAAAAATTGCTTTCTCATATTAGACAAAAAATACTATTCGTTACGTTCCTTAATTCCTAAAAATATGTGTGTTAAATTATATTAATAATTGATAATTTTTTTATATCTAATATATGATATAGACTTTTTCGAATCATTATACACTATTTACAAGTAAATGTATCTAAAAAGAAAAAAAGATCGTCCAATATGAAAAATTTATCTATACATTAACTTTCTTTCTTTCCGGCACTTATTAAAATTAATAATGGACTTTTTATCCATGCGTGCTATTTTAATAATTCGGTGCGATGCGACACATCGATAATATTAACTAATTAAGCTGGAAAGAGAGAAATCACTTATAGTGTAATACTTTTTCTCATTTTTTAAATCATCTAACAACGATCTTGTTCTTGATTTCCTAACATTATTTCATATAAGATTATTGTGATAAGGCCTCGGACATTTTACTATAGTTGTTTTTTTTTTAAAAAAGAGAGTATGCAAAAAAAGAGCCAATCTCGAAAAACTGTATTCTGACTAAATCTACTTAGAACATTAGATTAATTCTCGAGGCTTTGGTTACATATTTAGTTGACTAAGACATATTCAGAAACAAATAATAATAGAATCTGTTCAAAAATATGATAAATAATGTAAACTAACAAACTGCGTGAAATTATATTATAAAAACTTTTGTCACATAAATATGATTAATAATACGCAGTACTTTTTCTATGTAATTTGTATACAATCCTTATATTGAATATAGTTTTGAATATATTTAGTCATTTTTTTTTCCTTCAAATTAAAGAAGTATTTCTATAATTATTACAATTTTTAGTCACAAAGTAAAAATTTAATATTGATGATACATTAAACATAATATTTTAATATGTTTAAAATTTTGTTTTGTGATTTAAAAATCGTAATAATTATTGAATTTGTTTCATAATAGTAATATGGAAAAATTTATCGGAAATATAAAGAATTACAATTTGATAAAATGTTTTATCTGAAATAAAATATCCAAATATTTTAATACAAAAACATAAATTTGTATATATATAATTGTTTAATACAAAATTTATGTTTTTGTTTTGTTATTTTGAGTTTCAGAATTGTTCTGTTGTTCCTCGGTTTTTTCACACTTCTCATTTTTGGGTTCTTCTATTTCTTCTTTTTCAATAATTTTTTCCGATATTTGTACCGTCTTTGTGTCATTTTTTTCATTTTGTTGTTCTGTAACTTTATCAATTGCTATTTCGTTTTTATTTTCACTAATGAGATCTCCATTAATTTGAGAAATTGATTTTTCTTTCTTTGTATTTATATTGTCAGTATTTTCATCCAATCGATCTTTTTCTGAATTTTGTCCTTTTGAAAGATATAAATTCTGTTCTTTACATTTTGTAACTTCTTTTTCCAATCGTTCTTTATTTTGATCTTGATCGCCAGTACCTAGTAAAGATGTTTCTAATTTATTCTTCGAATTAATAATCAATGTGTTTTTATTCTGTCCAATACTTGAACTTGGAGAAAGTGAAGTTGATTTAGAATTTCGAACTGTTTCTGTTGATATTTTAACAGTCTCTGTATTACAAAAATTTCCAGTCTTAGACAAATTAAATGCACTGACATCTTCCTGTGATGTATTTTCTGGAAGAAGCAGATTATTAGTCTCAAGAGATGTTGCAATTGTTTGTGTTTCAGATTTGACCAAGTTGTATGATGCAGGAGAAATTGCTGTTAAAGAGGTAGTTTTAGGTGATTTGGGTGAAGAATAAGTGCTTGGTGGTATTCTCTGAACTGTTGGAGGTTGTGAAACAGGAGAAAAACCAGTAGTTTGTGGAATATAACTAGATCGTTGATATAATTTATTAATTGAAGGAGGTAAATTACTATGGAAGGCACTGGGAGATGGAATTCCTATTGGTGAACGTATCAAAGGATTTGGAAATCTATTAGTATCTGGAAATGGTGGTGGAAAATGAGGATAAATTAATCCGGGATTCATATTTGGTGTTGGAGAGGGTATAAAAGGACTCGTAGAAAGCATATTTACTGGAGAATTTTTAGGAGATATTGATGAACCAGTACTTCTACAAATATCTCTTGAGAATGGAGGATTTGAATAATTCCTTGCACTAGGAGAATATGGAGGTGGTGAAACAATAGGTGAATTAACTGTTGAAACAATTGGAGATAAAGTTTTAGGATCTATCTTCATCATACTCAAATTTCCATTTTTGGAATTACTAGATGTATTTGTAGTTGTTGTTGATGTCATTGTTGATTGTTCTTTTTCTTTACATTCATTACCAATACCATATATTGGTTTCACTCCAGAAGCAGGATTGCCTAAATATCTTAACATGTTTCTTTTAAAAATCTTAGCAGGTTTAGATTGAATTGTTTTACTTCTTTCAAAAAGTACAGTTTGATGTAATTGATTTTGCGTTTCTTTACTTTGATTTTTAACTGCTACATAATTGTTTTTGGAAAGTGTAGGATTCCAGCATCTTGGAGGATCACGAAGAGTTTTATAACCCATTGCTTGACTTTGCTTTTTTGAGACAGAAAGAACTTTTTGTAAAGAATGCGATGTTACTATTAAAGAAGTAGTTACTGATGAAGTAGCTCTAACATTATCCTTTACATTTGAATAAATATTTTTACTTTCTGTTGTGATTGCATTGCTACTAGGTGAATAAATGGGTACATTTGGAATATTTGTATGTTGCTGATGCTTATTAGTAGAATCAATAGTAATTGCGGGTGAACCATTTTTTCTACCAATTTTTAATAAATCTGGAATATCAGATTTACTTTTTGCTTCTGTTTTGTTTTTTTCTTTAGAATTTTCTCCAATTTTAGCACAAATATCATTAATTTTTGAACCTGAAGCTCCAATTTTTGCACAAATTTCATTTAAATTAGAACCTTTCGTAATTAATTCATTTTTACGTATTGTTGGTTTCATTAAAGAAATTGGAATAGCATCAGGGCAAGGAGGCACTGAATATGTATTAGATATTTCTAAATTTGCTTTTGTAACGGATTCTTTTGAAGTACTTGTACTTGTACTTGGATAATTATTTTTTAAAGCAGAAGAAACATTCATAGAAGGTACAGCAAATGCTGAAGGACTTTCTGATGTAGATATTGAAGATGTAGATACTTCATTTGTAGAAACTGTAGCAGATAATTTTTGAGTTGTTGATGTTGTTAAACTTTTGAAAGAATGTTTTAACATTGTACTATTTACTAAATCCTGAACTGTATAAGGAAATGTAGATGGAGATTGACTTATCGTTGATGTAGAAACTGAATTAACTCCATTGCCAGTAGATGTAGATAGAGATGTTGAAAGATTTAAAGATGCGGTATTATTATTTGGTAATGGTTCAATCTGTGTATATGGTGATTTTTGAGAAAGAATATTTGTTTGTTCATTTATTTTTTGACAAGATTCAGTTAAAATTTGATCTGATATACTTGGTTTTTTTTCTAAAGTATTTTCTCCTTGAGAATGTTCTTCCTTCTGATCAATTGATTGCACATTTTTTACATTTGTTTCCGTTTCTTTTATTTCAGGATTAATTGAGGTATTTAAACAAGTTGATAAAATAGGTTCTACACTATCCTGTAATTCAGATACTGGTTTTTGTGATATGATTTTAGTACAATATGGAACTAACGATTTATTTATTGTAACTTCACAATTATTTGTCATAACTTGTTCTTTTGAAATATCAAAAGAATTTTTTAATTCTGTAGTTTTTAAGTTTTCTGTAATTTTTATGTCTGTCTTTTTAGACAGTTGTGATATAATTTTTTTATCTTTTGTAATTTTCTTTGAAGAAGCATTACTATTGCTAATTTGTCCACTTTTCGGTTGAAATTGCAATTTTACACTTAAAGCATTGATTTTTGATCCCGTATTTACAAATTTTACTTCATTTCTTGAATTTTGCTTAGAAGTTTCTACTTTTTCTGTAAGAATATTATTATTATTTTTTGATGATTCTTTTTGATCTTTATTTTCAATATTATTGTTTTTAATTTCATGTTCATTTATATATTGTGTCGTTTCTTGCAAATGATTTTTTTGCAAAATTATTTGATCTTCGATATTATTATTATTCGATTGATTTTTCGATTCTTCTTCATGTTTAGAATTTATCATATTTTCTATTTCTTTTGTCGACGTTTTTACAGATTCTATTTGATTAAAACTGTTTTGGTCATCAAATTCATTTAATTTGAAAGAAATATCAGATTCATTAATAGCTTGGTTATCTGAAGAGTGTTTATTTTCTTTACTGACTTCAGATATTTTATTTCTATCACCATTTTCTTCAATTATTGATGTATTTATTTCAACACTAGTAATAGGTTCTTCAACTCTTGTATTCTTTTTAAATTGTTGGTCCGTTATATCTGTAATACTCATTATACCAGTTTCAGAAATTTTTAACTGTACTTCTTTCCATTCTCTCTTTGTTGATTTTTCTTCTTTTGATTCAATAGAATCGATTCCAGCATGGAATAAAGAAGTTTTGTAATTGACATTGTCTTCTGAAAGTTTTATTCGTTTTGGAGAAGATTCAAATATTCTGTAACTTAAATGCAATGGCACTTTCTGAAATGAATATATAATAATCATATGAATAATAATATATAATATATAATATTTACAAAAAAAAATGTTTAAACTTTCAAACATTTTTAAAAAATAAATCTTTAATACTCACTCGCCTCCAATGATAAATATACATCACATCCATCAATGTATAATTACTACATAATGGTTCCTCTTTATACATAATATCCACTCGATGTGCATCAGTTAAGCCATACTTAGCTCGTATAAGTTTTTGTAAATGAAAAATAGTTACTGCAGCAGGACAACGTAAATACCGCCTTAACAAAGGTTTTACAGCTATTCCTTTAACATCCTTGGAAGGACTAAAGTATTCTAATGATAAACTAAGAGATTCATCTGGAGAATATATATGTGATTCAATTGGTTCTCCTCTTGCCTCTGGAGATGTTGCTTGAGTACATGCTTCAGGATGTTTCGAATAAAATTCTCTCCTACATCTCATTTCATCTGAAATGAGAATAAATATTTAAATTCAATAATCTATAATTATTTAAATATTTTTTCAATTTTTTCTCAAATTTGTGTATATACATTTTTTTATATAAAAATATATACATAATATGTTTCTATATTTAATATAGAAAAATAAAAAATAAAAACTTTTTTATATTAACATTTATATATATATTTTCTAAATTAAAAATTTTATCATTTATATTATTTTTTCCTTGAATTTTTCAATTAGTATTATAAATTTTTTCTATAATTATAATACTTACTTTGGTAACATCCAGGTACCAATTTATATACAATGTCCTGCAAAGTATGATCTGGACGAATATTGAGTAATGGTTTACTTTTATGCACCTGTACCTCACA